CACTGCGTACGCACGCTGGTTCACATGGGAACCTTTCTGGAGTGCAGACGGTATGTGCAAATATATCAGTCATACCACAAATAATGACGAAAACATGCATTGCTTTCTATGAACTTACCATATTTGTAAATGTACTACAAAAAAGTGCATTTTGTCTCGAATACCCTTTCAATACCAGCACAACAGCCCAAATCACACGTTTTGAAAGTATTTGTGTATTTCGGGCTAGCGTTGTATTTGATCCCCAATTTCTTTGTTTTTCTATTTATCTTAACAAGTGCAGTGCAAAGACCAAAATAAGGCGAACCTTCTCTGAAAAAGCTTCGGCCAAATGGTCGCATTTGCGACCTTTCTTCCGCATCAACCAAAAATGTCTAAATCTATATTCAGAAAATTGGAGAACTTTTGTGAAGAATTTTTGTCTTATGCAAGACTTATGAGACGGTCTTAGTTCGAAAATTTCGACATGAATCTTACTGTACAGTTCAAGCTGAGAATCCTAAAGAGGAGCGGTCAGGAGTGGGCGATTTTGGATACTCGTTCTCCTGACCGAACCAACCAATCATATGCCTGCGCTTCACAAGTGAACGAGTTGATTGGGTGCTCGCGTCACGCCCACTCAGCACTCTTGACATCCAAAAAAGCGATTTTTTGACATTCTCAGCTGCTGAATGCTTCATACAATGCGTAGTCCACCCCTTGATGTTTGGACTTGAATCTCAAGCTTCTATTAACAAAGTGGAACGTCACTTTTTTCGGATTCGTATCCTTCGTTGGTAGTATTCGCATGTCTTTCTTCGATTTGATGCAATGTGAAGACTCACATCGACGCTGCATCGTATCGGACTGCAATTTGAAAAGATTGTTCGTAGCCGTAAACTTTTTTCTGAGCGTGAGAAAAACTTCTACTTCTACACTTGGACCAGTTTCTCATGGCCGCTGAAGGACATTACCTTTGCAATAACAATATTATCCCATTCTCGATCGTAAAATTGTCCCAGCATCCCTTCCATCCTCTCGCCTTCATTAGTATTCCCGGCTGGTGCCACAGCGGCTGTTATGATGTGGTCGTCGGTGAGATAGTGCCGATGCGGACGCATTAATCTACTTTACGCTTCGTTATTAATCGACTTGAGTGTTCAAGCTTCTTCATCAAAAATCGTCTCATCTATTCAATGGTTTCTTAAGCCCTATCTTAGTCTGCTCTCTTTCAGATTATGGATAGCCACGACGTAGATCGGTTTCGTGGCCTTGACATGAGCCATGGTTTCATAAAATCTATTGTGAAGAATCAGATTGATAGGTTAGTTTATCAAACTTTAATTTTTCTCGCTTTTTCGTATTTTCGTGATTGCAGAGATGAATATCACAAAGTAATGGAGGAACGAAAAATTGAAGTGCAAAAGAAGATTAGAGAAAGTGAGTTTCGTCAACCCCCTGCCCTTTGTTTTATTTCAAATTTTTTTTCTTTCTTTTTTCTCAAAACTATTTTCTAAGGTCGAAGAAAAAAGCCTGCACCATCAGCAGAGTATAAACTTTATGTTCCTCCCCATTTGCGAGGCAAAAACGACTCGACCGAAACAAACCAGAAAACTGCACCCGATAGAGTAAGTTTTCTTCTGTTCACATCGTTTCTTTTATTAATCGCATTATCTAAAATTTACAGAGGAATCCATGTCCAGCGATTGTAAGTGAGATAGAAGAAGAAACATTACGAGAAAAGGTAACATTCTATGATTATCTGCCAATTCTGACTTTGATTCTTTGCTTGCTTTATTTTTTTTTCAATTTTCACCCCTCATTTAATCTACAAAGAGTAAAGAATGGAAGGGGAATAACTATATCTCCCATGTCAAAACGTAACTTTTTGATTTAGGTTCGCACTCGGTTTCATGCTCGCTCCGATGGGCCTAATTTAGAAGGACTAGGTGGGCCATCTTTTTACTTCAAATTTGTCTTCTTCGACATCTCGTTTTCCCGTTTTTTCTCGTTTTTTTTTGTTTTCCCTTGAGATCTCAATTTGACTTTCGATAGCGAAGTATAACAAGGGAAGCTACCTAACTTAGCTCGGCCTTTTGGCA